TTGTAGCTGTTCCCTGCAATGATGCAGACACGTAGAGGATGCAGCTTTTGTTGGGCAGGTGGAAATCTGCTCTAGGATGCAACACCGTCATTGTCTCCCCCAACGCCGACCAACCACTCAGCTACCTCGCCCCGCTCCTCACCCACATCCTGCTCAACTCCATCTTCACCCCCCTCACCTCCAGTGCAGGGGTGAGTTCATCAGCAGCAGGCAGGAGGCCGTTTATTATATTGTATGAAAAGGCTTCCTCATCCGAAACATTCCTACTTTAAAGTCGACCTCTGATGCTCATTCCAGCTCTGTGTTCTTAGTCAGAGACCCAGCTAGAGCAGCTTTCACTCTTCAAAAATGTCCTTATTTATTTTCTACGACGACGTTCTCAGCGCTTTCCGAGCACTCGATAACTTCGACAGAAATAACCACGTTAAGAAATCTGTGATGAGCCGACGCGGCTACCAAAGCACCAGCACCATCATGTGATTGACTGCTCAGTCATTTAGTTATATTCTATTATTGTTTTGAGAGAATGAAGCTGTAGTTTTGGGATGTGAACTTTGTGTGTTGATGTGTTTGTGTCCAGCCCATAGCGGTGCTGCTGTGTCCGGGCTGGGAGAAGGTCCAGGCGGTGTACGACCTGCTGGAGGAGCTGAAGGTCGTCCCGGCCCTCCACCCGGCCGCCGTGCTGCTGGGAATCCACAAAGATGAGGCCAAGGCTGTCAGGATCCCCAAAAACTGTGAGCGAAGACCCCTCTCAGTCCGGAGGGGTCAGCTAATGACTCCGTATTTGTGCTTATTGTAAATCTACAAATGCATTTTATTTAGTTTTGTGTTAAGACGGATTGTCCCAAACTAAAGCAGTCATATCACTTCCTAAATGTTTTATTTCTATATTCTTTCCAGGCCTGCTAGTAGTGACCACTCCCTTCAGTTTGGTCCGTCTGCTGTCCTGCCACTGCTTCCTGTTCCTGCGTCTGTGCCACCTGGTTCTGGACGAGGCCGACCAGCTCTTTACTCACGCTCCGGACCAGGTGACAGAAACACTTCCATTGAACGCGGCCGGACCGAACACTCTCAGAGAAATGATAAACTCTGAAATACTCTTTGCTCTCTGATCCGACATTAATTGGCTACAGCTGACGATATCCACAGGTCACAGTTGTCGTTCACATCAATGTTTTTCCTCCAAACAGGAGCAGCTGTTAAATGTATTGTTTCATGAACATGTTGTTCTTTAAAACCTTCCTACAGATTTCATTAAACATGAATGTTCTGCTGTTAGATGCTGACCATCTTGCAGCATTTCCAGAAGGTGACGTCCAGCGAGGAGATGGCTTCCTGTCCTCAGCAGCTCATCGCCGTGGCAAAAAGATGGACCAGTGACATGGATGGTTTGTTAGCCAACTACATGCCATACCCGTCCATTGTCATCAGTGTCCCGGAGGAAGCTGCTCTCTATGGGAACGTTCAGCAGGTCAGTCTCAAAGAATCATTATTTGCATCGTACACGGACCATAAAACATCAGTTTGACTCATCAACATTTAAGATTAAGTGAGTTCATAATAATGTAAAACCGAACGCTGGAATCAAGTAACAGACACAGTTTACCAGTAGTCCAACTTCCACAATAATCTCTCCTCTTCTAGGGTTTATTCCTCTAAAAGCCTCGGCTTCACTTCGCCTTCTATGTGAACACGCCTTAATGCTGAGCTGTATGTTCCGATGTCTGATGATATTTCCAGTTTAAGGAAAAGTTTGTCTCCCCACAGATCATCCTAATGACCCTGGAGAGCAGTAAGACCTCAGTACTGCTGGGTGTGTTAGATTTCAACCCCGATGTCGGCCAGAAGACTCTGATCGTAACCAACTCTGCTCAGGAGGTGGAAGATGTGTACCAGGTGAAACCACAGCTTCAGTTATGCTGTACATTATAATAAGTACTGTATATATATTATATAATGTATGCTTTAAATCTTTAATGTAGGACCAATATCAGCCCAACAGTCAGTGAAGTTTACCATTCTTATTTTCTCATATTCAGGCTGTGAGCAACAAATCAGCATTCTGCCTGAAGACCCACGAGGGGTTAACTCACCAGTTTGACTTCGTCATCCAGCAGTGGAGGAAGGACATCGGCCCCGGCACTCATGTTATTCTGGGTAAACAGAGAGAACCTCATCAGTAAAGACATTTAGAGACATTCACTGAAATCACTTCCTAAACATTCAATGTGTGGGAAGCGATTCTAGATAATGTGACAGCCCGCCAGTTTTTCAATCTGTGTGTGCGCTGGAAAAAGATCTGGTAGCGTTTCACACCACCGGACCGAGCCGCACAGCACTGACTCGTTATTCCAACCAGGACTTGTTTGTTGTCTAAAGGTCTGTTACTTTACCACACAATAAAAAGTCACGTAGCTTCCACCTCACTCGCTCTGGAAACACTCCCGACAGGAAACACTGGCTGTCTTTTATTAGAAAGCCCGACCGGAAATATCCCAATTCTGTGACCCTGTTAACGGTCAACTTTCAGATGAACGTGCTGACTAACTGGTGACTTTATTTAGTTGAAAGTTAACCAATATAGTGGTAATACCCCATAACACCATTCACCCCACCTTCACAGTGCTGATATCTTTCTCCTTTGATCTCTAGTGATCACCAACGAGTGTCTGAAGTGTCTGGGAATCAGAGATGCAACTTGTGTCGTTCACTACGGCTTCCCCACCTCTCCCAAAGTATTCGGCAGCCGACTCTTCTGCATGGCCGAGAACTTCAGAAACCTTTCTGAACGAGTAAGAACAAACGGACGGGAGGAATTTGGTGGATAAAATCTGTATAAATGACCAATGCAGTATCAGAGTCCACAAAGAAAATGTCCGTTTAAATGTCTCTGATTTCTCTGATGTCTGTCCAAGGTTCCCTCCCAGGATCAAGCAGAGAGCTGTCCTCCTCCCACCAGGTCGGTGCTGCTCATCTCTGACAGGAACGCCCGTCATATAGTTGGAGTTCTGCGGTATCTGGTGCGAGCCAACACCGTGCTGCCCCCCGAGCTGCTGTCCTTCGCCCGGGGCATCCATGTGGCCCGGGAGGACCAGAAGACCCACAGGCCTCTCTGCAGCTCCCTGAAGAGCTTTGGAGTCTGTAGGTCAGCAATAAATGATGTAGTGCTACAAAGCTTTCTATTAGCCAACAGCGATGTGAGAAAGTTGGGTTTAATTTTTGCTTAAACAATTTATTAACTGAAAATAAAATGTGTATACGTTAGCAGCCTTACCTTGAATGCTACACAGTCTTCAGGTTTTCACTGTAAACAAACTGCGGAGATGCTCATTCACCTGTTAACACGTCACAAGCTGCTGTAGACTGTTGGAATAAAAACCTTTTCTCTTGCATCCATGTAAGGTTGAAATCCACTGGTCCAGGTCTGGCTCAGTTTGGGGAAAATAGAGATTTCATTCTTAGAATATGATTATGTGATTCTATGTGTTTTCTTTTGCAGAGACAGCAGTGTGTGTCCCGACCGTCACAGATTCATCTCCCACCTGGATCAGTCGGTGCTTCCGGCCACGGGAGTCATAGAAGTGAGGACGTTTACATTTTGTCTCTTCTTTAGCCGCTCCTGCACTTAAAGAGTCAGAAGTGTTGTCCGTTATATTTGGTTAGAGCAGAGCTATGGAACATTAAATCTTCACTCACTATATCTCGGTGCATAAACTACAATTATTTTATTGGCTTAAAAAATATCAGCATCCCTACTAAATGCCTCTTCTTCCCGTTAACGGACATCATCAAGGAAACAAGAATTCATTAGTGGTTCTGCATATGCAAAAATATATTTAGCTTATTTTATTTAAATCTCAGTCTTGTAAGCACCTTGGTTATAACTAATTATCTGCACCAGGCACAAGCCTGTAGGAGGGGAAACTGAAATGATTTAAAGAACAGGCTACAACCCTTTTTGCCCCCAGGTTGTGCCTCTCTACATTAAGGCAGCGTCAGTGTTCTACGGTCGTATTGTCAGGAAGGAGGACGAAGGTTTCCAGAACATGGCGTCTGAGATGAATTCTTTCTACGCCGACAAGAAACCCGGAGCCAGCGAGGTGCTGGAGGGAGGCTTATACGCTGTGCAGGAGGACGAGGTCTTCCACAGGTAAAAAAGTTCCAATTTTAGGGGATAAAACAAACATTAGGACACTTGTAACTGTAACTGTGCTCCCTGCGACAGGGTGAAGATCCTGTCTGTCCCAGACCGAGGTGATCGGCTGTTTTTCAGCGTCCTCGTTCGGTTTATTGACGTGGGAAAGGAGGAGGAGGTCAAATCCCATCAGATCCTCCAGCTCCCGGAGAAGTTCCACTCTCTGCCCGGCCAGGCCGTCGAGATCATCGTCTGCCGGGTCAAACCGGCCGACTCTGAGACCGAATGGCACCCCAAGGTTTCCCGCTCACCTCCTTTCTTTACACATTACAGACACATGATGTGACTTTGTGTCGCTTTTTTCTTCTGAGCGTCTTCAAAATGTGGTTGTCTTTTCAGCATAGATTAGCTTAGCATATAGCAGTATGTACAGGAAAGGATGAAGGTGACAGAGGATTGTTCAACTCTTATTGGAGCGCAGAGTAAAAGGGGCGGGACGTGAACTCCTGTGTAAAGGAAGCAACCGTGTGGTGGTCATGTGACTGGACATTTTTTCAGGTCACCAGAGGGATCAGCCAGAAGATCCGAGGTCTGCAGCACCGAGCCAGAGCGGTTTTCAGTCTGGGAAACACCGTTTTTGTTGATCCTATGGTAGGTTTTTATCATCTCCTGGTTCAGCCGGTGGGTGACTGATGGAAACATCTGAATTAATAACAGATCAGGTTTTAATGGTTCCAAAGTAGATCAGAATGACTCTGTCTGTTAATTCCAGTCTGTAAACTGTTGGCACCAGTAAACTTTGTTTCCTGTTGTTGCTCCGAGGTCCGTGTGACGCAGGTGCCAGGTATGAAAACTGTGATCAATGACTACAACGTGCAGTCCGAGATCCTGAACACCGGGATGGGAGTCAGCAACCCGGAGCATCTGGACCGGCTGAGGACGCTCTACCAGGAGTGCAACATGGGCAGCGATAACAAGGCGGGTCTTGTTTCTGGGTAAGGAAACACTCAGGTGTCCTGGTAGTGGACTGAATATATGAGCCTCCTCCACTGTGGTGCATGAGGCAGCTTTGTGTCGTTGTAGGTCGGTGGACGGTCCGGTGGCTCAGGAGGTCAGGATCAGAGCTGAGGAGGAAGTTCTGGCTGAAGCCTGCAGAGTGGCCGAGGTCAGTCGGCTCGCTGACCCCCCTCACCTGCAGCCACGTGAGACTCTTAGTCCAGCATCTTCAGTGATCCAGTCCCTGTCCCCGGCACCAGCAGCACCAGCAGCAGCTGAACCCCACCCGGACCCAGTGTGTGATCAGAAATCCCTCTCAGACAGTCAGAGAAACACCCACACTGCTGATCTGACGTCAGCCGAGCAGATGATGAGGTCGGTGTCTTTACTGAGGAACTCATAAATATATTGTTCTTTAATCCGATACAGTCAGCACACACAAACACAGATGTTAAAATATCAGGAGAACAGAAAGTCCCTCAGAGGATTTAATGAACAGAAGCTTTATGTTTTTGATCCACAGGAACGGACATGAAGGAGAAGTTAACCGCACGACCAGCGAGGATGCTGCTCTCAACCCCTGTGATGGTAAAAGTCAAAAGTTCTGTCCTAGCTGTGTCCAAAGATCCAGGTCCAGCTGATTATACACTAATGAAAACATACATGTAGATATTATATTTCATTTCTGACAATAGATCCTCCTCAATGTTAAACACTGGACCTTTAAATAATTACAGAGCTGCTTTTACTGTGTCACTGTGTTACTGTCAGGGGACTTTAAGATGTTCCAAATGTGTATATAGAAGTTTTTATCTACCTCAGCATAACACAAGATCACTTACTGTAAACTGAAACAGAAATATTCTGATCAATAATCGTGATCTGACTGCCTCCACTGCTAACACACAGTAAACGTGTGTGTGTGTGTGTGTGTGTGTTCAGGTGTGCCTGCAGGTGACGATCAAATCATCAGCCAGCAGCTCATCAGCACTAATAAGACAGACTGCAGTTACTCTGTAAAAAGGTACAGGAAGGTTTATCTGGATGTAGCTCCGCTGCAGACGGAGGGCAGGAAGTGATGTTCTACATTGGAAGCACCATCAAGAGAAAACAAGAAACCAGGAGAATCAAAAGCAGAACACAGTGTATCAGTTTAAGTGTGCGCTATATTTAAAATATTCTCACCACTTTACCTCGCTGTCAGACTTTCTTACGGGGAACTGAAGCTATTTTATCCATCTGTGCTCTCTCCAAAGCCAACAGACGCTCTTTGAATCACCAAAGTCACACAGTAACACAAACACACACACCGATGGAGGCAGCGGTAGACCAGCAACTCCTGAAATTACTGTTTTTATCTGAGGAGTCTGGTGGCTTTGAACAGAGACGACTTCAGTTCCCCGCCAGAAAAGTTTCAGATCAGTTTAAAGACAAAGAATCACAATATCCTTTAAACTAGCACAGCTCCATCTCATCCATTCTGCTGTTCACTTCCTGCCCTCCGTAGTGTTTATATTTGATGGAAGAAAGAACATTTTACTTTATTAACATACAGCAGATAATCCAGAGTGGTTTTTAAACTAAACTATATTTGTTTCTCCTCCGGTTGTGTTTCAGTTTGCACCCTCAGGTCCGCTGGTACGAGACGTCCGACTCCGTGATCGTTTCGGTGAAGCTGACCAACCCGGAGAGTCAGCACTGTGATTTCTACCCCGACAGAGTCGTTTACAGGTCTGTCGGGAGCAGACCGCCAATGATCGCTCACTTACTTCACATCTCATCCAACATTCAGTGGAGCTTTTTATCCCGAGCACTTTACACCGGCGGGAGCGGGTACATGTTTAGCACAGCAAGCCTCTGTGTGAATTAAACACACAATGAGTGGCTGCTAACACATCAGGCATAGTTCAGGTTTACAGTTTGATCATTAGTCCATCACTTTCCTTTGTTAGGGCCACTGGAGTTATTCTGTCATCTCTTGTTTCTGAACAATAGAGCCGTTAAAGATTTAATGAAATGAATCTGTGACGTCATGTGGCACCAAATGTTAGCTCGGACACTTTGAGTTCATTCAGAAAACCTCTTTGTACTGTTGTTCTGCAGTGACAGATTCCAACACTTTCTAACAGACGTTTCAGTGTTTAACTGTTTTTTGGCGTTAAGCTTCTCGATTACTTTAGTCTGTAATAAAATGTTTTCAAATCAATATTTAGTGTCACATGATTATTGCAGTTGGTTGACGAATGCTTCGAAAGATGCCTCGTCGTTTGGTTCAGTCTCAATGTCTGCTAGAGTAAATCAGTGCGGCAGTAACCTGAGAGCAGATTGTCGACTGTTACACGACGTTAAAGGATACAGAAAAAACAGGTTTAGCTGGCGAGTGCAGCTAAACCTGTTTTTGTGTCTGCTTGCTGTAAACGGAGAGAAATACAACCGAGGTCTTCAGATACGGACGAGCTGCTCGTATTTCCCAGAACCACACAGTCATCCTCTTCTTCATCGTCCAATACAGATAAATACTCCATCAGCTTCTTCATCATCTCCCAGGTCTCTGAATAATTGTACCATGTAATGTCATTTTCTTACGTTTGAATTAATTTTATAATCCAGTATCGAAGGTATTAAACAATACTCAGCCCTAGTTGGTCAAGAGACAACAACTTACAGCTTTATTCTTTACAAGCTCATTTGAGACACAGATTGGTGCGAACACACTCTGTGTCTCAGTAACGCCGCTACTGCAGCATGTCGCTGGGACTCAATCTACCGTTAACTAACTGCTGATGTAGCTGCTGTTAGAGTCAGCAGCCTCCCAGTGAACACAACCAGAGCAGACAGAGGACAGTGTGACGGCAGCGGTACCGAGGTGATTTATGGAGTTTACTGATGTTAACTCGTCCAGCTAATGTTAACCACCGCGGTACTTTCATATTCGTCAAACTGTCCATTCAGTCCCGGTTCTGGACCTGCTGTTCACTGGCAGCTCCCAGTCCAACAGAGTCCACTAATGGATCCACTACAGCTGCTGGTCCCTCTCTAACTGCTAATACAATGAATTGTTCCAGCTTCACAAATGTGAGACTAAACTGACTCTCTGTCGGATAAAAACAAGACATTTGAAGAAGCACTGATCTGTGATTTCACTCACAATAATTGTGTTGGTTGCAGCCGCACTTCATTGGAACTTAAGTAAACCTCACTGAGGTGGTGCTTTTGCTTTTGGAGTAACAAAACCCAAATGAAAAATGTAACGGCACATTGGTGCACGGTGGCCTCAGACCTGCCACTCTGACTGCTTCCTGTCTGACTGAGGACGTGAGGGAGGTCGTCCTGAGGACAGGTGAGGACGGACTGAGTGCAGCGTGTCGTACTTTATAACCTTTATAGAGTTCACATGGAAGGAAACTAACTCACTCTACGCAGCGCAGTAAACAAACAGAGACGTTTCCTCAGTGTGATCAGATTGACGCTCTCTGTGTTGGTTGTGTTCAGTGGCAGAGTGAACGGTCGGATCTACAGAGCCAACCTGGAGCTTCAAGCCAACGTCGTTGTGGACCGCTGCCGCTGGGACATGAAGTCCAACGAGCCGGTCCTCAAACTGGTCAAACAACGGCAGGGATACTGGGAGAGACTCCTCAGGAACAAGGTCCAACAGAGTCCACCACACAGAGTCCACCACACAGAGTCCACCACACAAGAGCACAACAGAGTCCACCACACAGAGTTCACCACACAAGATCCCACACAGAGTCCCACCCACAGATTCCACCACACAGAGCTCCACCACACAGGAGCCAACATCAGACCACACAACAGAGCCACACACAGAAGGTCACCACACAGAGCCACCGACACAGGTAAAAGTCAAAATACATTACTGAAGCTTGTGAAATTGTCTTATTGTCTGTCTAAACGGCGAGCTATTGAGTAGCATGCGAGCTAACGTCCATAAATATAGGACATGCAGATATTAACGTCATTTAAATTATATTGCAGTTATTTTTACAGCGTTTCAGTGTTTGCGCTGTTGTTTGTTGAAAATTTGATTGTTTATGATTTAAAAAGAATAATAAAACTTAACAAGTTTTCTTTCCCAACATAATATTTTTGTGAGTTTACAGACACATGAGATGATGAAGTAAAAACCCAAACGGTAAGAACACGCTCACTGAAAATCTATTACGTTTGAGGTATTTTGTGATCCTTAAAGTTAATGTTTGGTTCGCAGTCTGTGCGTTTGAGGGAACACAGGAGAAGAAACTGGTACGTTTGAACTCAGAGAGCGACCACGACAGCGACTTGAAGATGGAAGTACACTCTAAGAGACAAACAAAAACCTAACCCACCCATCCTGTTTAATCACGAACATACGATCATCTTGTAATTGTACTCTGACCTTTTGACCTCCCTTAATATTCAAGCTGCTCAATTATAATCTGGAATAAACCTCTGCAAGTGAGTTTAAAAACTATTTTTAAACTTTAGTTGAAAAGAGTTTAACCCCACAAGTTTGATTCACCAACTTTATTTGAATATGACGAACTTTGCTTTGAGTTTCCAGTTACTTAAAAGTTCCAGCCAAAAACTTTAATCAGAATCTGCTCACTCTCCAGTTTAACCCGGACAACAAATCAAAGCATACACTTGGCCACTGATCTCCGACTGTCCATCCACAACTGCTCTGCACTGTGAGTTCTACCCCTTTTTCTAATCAGAACCAGCATTAACTTTTCAGCATTTGACTCAGCAGCTCGTCTGTTGATCGCCACACGGCAGCTTCACTCCCCCTGCAGTCAATGGCCTCGGCCCCCCTGACCCTGTCTCGTTTCTTTCCTTCCTTACACTGTGATACGGTACTGACCTCTGCAGACCGGGAACCCCCCCACAAGCTCAGGTTGGAATGTGCTACCCCAGTTCTCCATCACCCTGTGGTTACTTGTCAAAGTGACTCAGATCCTCAACGCGCCATTTTTCTTTTCCTGTTTCTACACATCAACTCTGAGGACTAATGTTCACTCCCCCACCCTCCCCCCCACGACAGGAGCCCTGATAACCAGATAATCAGAGTTATTCACTTCACCAGAGTAACTGAATTAATAACAAGTAATCAATATCAGGTTCAGTTTCTCATGTTTATAACAAAACAGATTTCATCAGAATGTTTTCAGTCTTAAACGAGTTCCAGTAGATTTTGTATAGTTATTGTTATTATTATCGGAGTATTGATCACTTCACAACCAGAATCTTTGTTTCTGTTTCTATGGTCCGACGTTAATAATGCAGCCAATCAGAATCCAGTATTGATCCAGGCCGTGGACTGAGTAATTATAAGACTCAGAAATGGATAATTTATTTCTTTGAGATATTTTGGGGCTATTAATGCCTTTATTCGATCGGACAGGTGAAGATAGACAGNNGGGAGACATGCAGCAAAGGGCTGCAGGTTGGAATCAAACCCGGCCGCTGCGGTAAGCAGCTGAATTATCGTACGACAAATATAAATGTAAACATTTACAATCCCATGTAAGTCCATCTGCTGGATTAGAGGGTGTCTGAGGACAGAAGGTGTAAAGAAACCCTGAGCAAAAGCTGGAATTGATCTATAAACTGATATCGTAAAAAGTAAGCTTCTATTTACGTCACAATGAAAAACAATTAACATAACAAAAACTCTAAGTTCCACGTTTAACGCGTTTTTTAATTTAAACACATACAGAATGATGTAAAGATAAATAATGTCCGTTACAGTTTGGGGGTTGAGTTCAGTATTTAATGAAAATGTTTGTTCTTGTAGTTTGTTCTGGTTTCATTCCTGATAAAAAAAAAAAACAATTCAACATCTTCATAACTTCAACTGTTTTAATGTTGAATTACAGTTTAAAAGCACTTTAATGTTAAAGTTAAATTACAATAAGCACAAACAATCCAACTCTTTATCCCTTTAAAGTCAGTATCGATAGAAACGCGTCGCCTGCAGAACCTACGGTACAAACGCTCCTCTCTCTCTTTTTGAGACGCGCATAACATGACATTGTTGTGGTTACACACACACACACACTGTTTAACCTTGGTGGTTAGACACACACACACACACACTGGCGCTGCAGTTCCACATAAAGCATCATGAACTACTCTCTTATTTAGTTTGTTTTATATGAGGCTTAATGTTCAGTTTCCCTTTAATGTCCCTGAATATTACAAATCACATCACTAACGCTAAAGTTCCACAAGGTGCAAAATAAGAAGTAAAACAACATAAAACGTGTCAAAACGTACAGATTCAGTTTCTCTCATTACATGTTCTCATTCATTCGTTCAGTCCGTATCAAAGCACACTCATTAGCAGAGCTTTACTGTATGAATCTAAATCAGAATTAGTTCTCTCTAAGGTTGCACACAGCATCACTCCTGAAACAGGTAATAAAGGTAATAATATACGTTGTTGCTCACTCGTTGTGTCTCACTCTGGCAGCTCTAATCTGTTAATATAGGCGGCAAAATAAATATAAAGACGTTCTGCCACTCACAGGAGTCGTTACTGCAACCGGGTTTGTTTCCTACCTGTGGTCAGTCTTCAGGTTCTCAGGTTCATTATTGAGCTTTAAAGGTGCTGATTGGTTGATTTTGTTGGACCACGCGAGGCTCGCCGTTTCCCCGTTTCCAGTCTTTAAGCTCTGAAGCGTTAAAAAACTCTTATTGAAGACAAAGTTGTACCCAAATGTCCCAAATAGGCTCGGTCTCCCTCTTACCTTTACTGGCCTGCTGTCGCTACACGTTTTGACAAATAAAGGCAGGAAGAGTTCAGAGCTGCAGAAACATAAATGTTTAAACTTTGGTCAGTATGGATCCATTAGATAAACAGTAGGTTGGGCGACGTGTTCGGTTAGTGATGGACTGCCAGTCGCTGATAGCCGATATATATTCGACCCTACTCTCCCACAGATAACGAGAGATAAAGGCAGGTTGAGTTCAGTGATTTAAGCAAATAAAAGTTATTCATTGAGGTTTTACTGTAATCAGAATGTTTCAGTTCGTGGAGGTTTTTGACATTTCATTAAAACATGATAATATCTGAGGGAAGTGAGCTTTAGTTATTTGATTAAAAATGCCATTGCTAATAATAATAATAATAATAATTTTGTCCTGATGTTGTAAACTTAAACAGCTGCTTATCTAATCAGCCTGACTCCTGAAAAATGTGGGAAACTCACGGTTGTAAAAACGTGGAGGAGGAGGAAAGCTGCTCGTACCACGAAGGGAAGTCACCATATATATATAAGATACTGATGAAATAATACTCGACCTGATTTCACAGCAGCTTCTCTAAAATATTTGCATGTTGAAATGTTTTAGGCATTTTCAACAAAATTAGCAGGAGAAAGTGAAAAATATAATTGTTTCAAAATCGAAGGCAACTTGTTCCAGTGAGAATAAAATCAGTGTTCAAAGTAACGTTACAGAAAGAGCTCAGGATTATAAAGCTCTGAGACGGTTGTGTCTACAAGTGAGTGGTGACAGTTTGTGCTGGAAACTAGAACTATTATAATCATTTTCATAAAAGTTGCGTTGATTAGACAGAATTGCAAGTTTGCACTAAATTTTCAAGCATTGGCTGAATTTACGTTAACTACTGCGATCACAACTCCTTGGAAGGACTGATAGTTTTTGTTCTTTGGTCATTTTGAGACTCGGTTTGTCGTCATTAATGCGAGAACACGTCTGACTTGGACCGTCTTCGAGTTCTTACGTGAAAACAGTTTTTTCCTTTCCGATGAGTCGAGGTGGAGCTGTCGTTATAATTCTTCTTGTGCTGGTTGATGTTCTTCTGTCTACGCCGTTAACGACAGACTAGAATACCTGCAGGCGTATGCCGCACATTTTCAGGATTCGGTTCTCGTGATATCGATTAACACTCCGCACAAAGCTTGTTGACTCAAAGTAGTGAGACAGAAAGGAAAGTTAAAATAAAGTTAATAATATGTGAAACTACGAGAATGTTCATTTAGTACTTGAAGACACCAATGTGGTCAGTGGAGATCGTCTGTGCTGGTATTTCTCTGTGTGGTTCTGTAGAACAGTAACGTTTGAAAATATTTAGAGAAAGGTTTTTGTTTTGGTTTAATATTGTTAGAGTTTAAGAGTTTGGGACTTTCTGTTTCTGACCCGACTTAAGTTGGATGTTTAAAAGACGTTAAAGATTAGAAGTTACTAATGTTTCTTTAAAGATTACAGTGAGGGAAGATAACTGCTGACCCTTGGTCCAAAATGTAAATTGGGGGTAAGAACTCTGCAGCCACAGCGGAGGACAGGATTACATCGCAGTGTTAAATGTGTAGTGTACCTGCGAATCAGAATAAAGCAGCTGCTGTTGGAGCTTTCTGCACATTGTCTGTCCTTTGCCCCAACAAACTTCTGCATACAGGTAATTTATTAGAGATGTGGCGACACTGATCCCCGACATCCTAAAATATGAATCTCAAATCGATGCAGTTTGTAGCCTTTAATAATGATTTTGGCCGGTAGAGTCTCTCAGTTTACCTTCTGTTGGCAGTTAATGTCGGACCTCGTACTGTCGTCTCTGCTCTGTTACCACTGACAGATTAACACCACAAGACTTCTGAAATAACCAGTTTTTGTTTTAAATAAAAAACATTTGGAGGAAATGTGAAGTTATAAAATAAAAATGCATTAATACACAAAAGAAAGATTTAAAAGAAGTCACTTGTTTTAAAATGCAGCTGCAACTTTTATTTAGATTGAATTCTTGTTGATTTATTGTTATTTTATATTTGTACAGTTTATATAGTGAGCAGACTGTAAAACAGTTGGATTATTATTTGATGTTTGTTTGCAGACGTGTTGATTCACATCCAGTTGGACACTTTTTGTTTGCTGATGTTTCTGTTCAGAATAAATCCAAAGACTGTTTGTGTTAAAAATTTAATATGAAACATTTCTGCATTAAAATGTCTAAAAAGCACAATGTCAGTGTTTTTCTTTCTGTTTTTAAAAATGTGCACAAAGGAGCAGGCAGTGACGGCCTAGAAATATTTTATTATTGCACAGGACAAAAGAAGAGTTAGAGGCTATAGATAGAATAGTACAGGTAGAATATAAACAATGTGTATATATATTATATATATA